AGGAGTGGCACAGGCTGTGGCTAAAGCTGTCCATTCCCCCTCTCTCCTCCATCTCGCTTTAATTTCCTATCATAGCCAGTTAGCTCTGAGAACAAGTGAGCAAGTTTCTTAAGACAGAGTCCCCCTGGTCCCACTGTCTTCAACAGAGTCCAGGGACTCCTGGCCATTTTTGCTCAGTTAGAGCACTGGCCTGTGGACGGAAGTGTCACAGGTTTGATTCCCAGTCAAGGGCACTTACCTGGGTTGNCCCTGGCCATTTTTGCTCAGTGGTTAGAGCACTGGCCTGTGGACGGAAGTGTCACAGGTTTGATTCCCAGTCAAGGGCACTTACCTGGGTTGCAGGTAGCAACCAATTGATGTTTCTCTCTCTCTCTCTGTCTCTCTCTCTCCCCCTCTCCCTCCTTTCCCCCTTCTCCCTAAAAAACAAAAAATCAATGGAAAAAAATATCCTTGGGTAAGGATTAACCAAAATAAAAAAGAGAGAGAGAGAGTCCAGGGAACCTATACCGCGTGGTGAGGGTCCACTGGCTCCCCCTCTTCACAGACGGGTGCAGGGCCCCAGCAGGNCATACCACGTGGTGAGGGTCCACTGGCTCCCCCTCTTCACAGACGGGTGCAGGGCCCCAGCAGGAACACTGTGCATCACAGGCCCACGGGCGGCCTGCTCCTGTGTGGAGGGGACCAGCCAGGCTTCCCGCCGCCTGCCACCCCCCTAGTGCCTAAGTGGCCGAGCCAGGAGGAGCTGCTCAGAGTCTGAGTCTCTCAATTACACGCAGGGATATGCTGAAGATGACAACGTAACTGATGGTATTTACATTTTCCGAGCCAAAGTGGAACTTTTTCACCACCACAAACATTTCCCGAAGCCCCAGATTTCCCTGCCGAAAGCACCCCCAGGAGGAATTACTCAGGAGGCCCAGTTCCAGGTGGAGGAAGCGGAGAAAGCGTTGATGTCAGTTTTTCAGGCATGAGCTGGGCTGGGACCCCAAGCGGCCGCAGCGTAACAGAAACGCTCCAGCCAGAGCTCGGGGGGAGCTGCATTCTCGGGCCTTTTATCTGTAGGTGTGACCAGAGCTGCTGACATTGGCGGGTTCAACTGTTTGGACCCTAAGCATCCCCCAGACCTGCCATTGGGCCACAGCCAAGCTATCAAATGCGGGGATCAAATGCATTTCCCTTGGACCAGTTCTGTTGAAGAACCCAATGCCTGGAGGGTCTGAGAGATGCCTCTTCACTGCGCAGTGCAACACCGAAGGGCAGACACAACAGTCTCATTAGGGCCTCTGCCCTTCTCCTTCCCTCTCTAGATTCTCAGGAGCCACACGAAAGAAACTTGAACACACCCAGGTGGAAGCAGCAAAGAGAGCTTATAACAAAATGCCAAAATGTCCTCAAACCCCACTTTGCTCGCCCCACTAGAAATCAAGGGACGCTTGCAAAGATCTCGGGGGGGTGAGCTCCATTGCCACAGCTCAGGAAAGTTCTGTGGACTGTTATGCCCCAGCAGTGCCACAGACCCGTGGTTCTCCGCACCCCCAGGCAGCCTGCTTGTTGTCTGTCTTATCCACACAGTGACTCACGCCTTAAATCCCCAGACTGCATGTCCCTGCTCCGTCTCCCCGTCTCTCTCTCTGACACACACACACACACACACACACACACACACACACACACACACACACACACACGTCTTTGCGGAGAAGGAAACTATTCAGCCTCATAAGGCTCATCTCAGGGCCACCTTCCCCGACAAGCCTCCGTGACATGCCCCCAGGAAGAAAACCCCAACTTGGGCTTCCTGAGACTCCATGGTCAGCTGTGTCCCCTGGTTTACAAGTCATCCATCCTGGACTGCGATCGTCTTAAGGACCATCTCTTAGTCCTAATGCTCAGAGTGTCTGTCGAACTGAACCAAATGCAGCCTAAAGAAAACATTCGATTTACAATAGGGATTTCTGTAAACCGGCTCCCCTGCCAGTGCTCCTCGTGTGACAGACTGGCACCGTCGCCAGCCATCCCTCCAGCCAGAAGCCTCCCTCTCCACCACCCGAGCTGTCACAAAGGTCTCCCCTTTGTACCTCTTACCTCCTAGTTCTGGGCTCTCACCTGGACTGGCCCAGGGGCCTCCCACCTGCTCTTTAGGCCGAAAAGCTCCCCTCCCCTCCACTCGCTGGGACGGAGCCTCAGCCACGTCACTCCACCGCTCAGCACCGTCCCCAGCCGGCCTGCCCTGGAGCAGCTCCCCCCGGCGCCACGGCCCCCTGGGAGCTGTGTGGGGCATGGGTGACGGGGCTGGCAGCCCTCCCGCTCTTGGAGCAGTTGCACGGGACCTAAGACGTCCCCAGAGGCAGCCCTGCCTCTCTGCCCCGGCACCCAGACAGGTGCTATTGTCTGCGTGCACCATGGCTCACAGCCTTTGGGAGGTATTTCCCTAAGGAGCAAGCCCTGCCTGGCGCCTTCCCACTTGGCTCAGCCAGGCCCGCTCGCTCGCCAGGACCCCTCGAGGCTCCGTAGGCCTCTCATCCTTTCAGGGCTGCTCCAAGTTCACCTGAAAGGGAGCCGCAGGGAGCACGGATCCCATGCAAGCGTTTGGCATTCAATCAGGTTCCTTAAGTCCAACAGAGCAACGTGGCCCTCGGGCGCGAGAGGTCCCCTTAGGGGACGTGGTGTCTGGGTCCTGATTTAGGGTTAGTTTCTCTGCCCTGTGCACCCGTCCTCGGCCGCTTGACTCTTGTCATTTTTCAGAACGAAAAGTCTGGATCCCGAAAAGGCCTGTACGCCAGGGTTTAGAATCAGAGACCATTTTTGCTGTTCCTGAGGGTTATGTTTGCAGGAGATGGCTGATTAAAATATCTCGGCGGCTGTCCCCCCAGGCAGCCTCCCTCCCACACCAAGAGCTTGCCGCTCGCCTTCCCGACACTTGTCAGATGGGAGACTGTGAGCGACAGAGGGTGCAGGAGCTCAGCAGGCAGGCACGCCACGCGGAGTTGCGGCCACCGCGAGTCTCGGTTTGATTTTATTTATGCGAGAAAAACGTGCTGGCGACCCACCGGGTTATTTTTCTTAATTAGGGTGACGTGTTTATGGGCGTTTACAACCTCATTCTCTAGACCTGTCCGTATGTCTGAAATATGTCAGAAGAAAGCATTTTCCAGTCCGATGGCTTATCCGTGTTCAACGAAAGCTGGGGGACGAGTCCTCGCTTCGTGGGTCCTTCTGGGTCCTTCTCAGTCCCTTTCACAGGCTGGTGGGCAAGTGCTCAGGACACATCCAACAAGTCTCAGGGAGAGACCGGTGCCCTGAAGAGCTGGTGGTTCTCAGTGTGCCAGCCTTTTAATAAATAATGGTTCTTGTCTATGTCAAGGATTCACCGTCTGCCGACTTCAAAACTTTCAGCTCTGGTCCGGGCTGGTGTGGCTCAGTTGGTTGGCCCATCATCACCTGCACTCAAGGGTCGGGGCCTCGACCCCCGCTTGGGGTGCAAGTGGGAGGCAACCAATTGAAGTTTCTCTCTCACATCGATGTTTCTCTCTCTCTCTCTCCCTCCCACCCTTCCTCTCTCTCTAAAATAAATTAAAAAACCAAAACTTTTCATTTGGGATCTTCAGACATTCCCGTTTTCACAGGAAGAGAGGAGAGAACTTACTTTTCCTGAGCACCGAGCACAGTGAGCATTGGACTCGTGCCTGTTCCCTCATCAAATGCAATATTCATGACTAACAGCATACTCAAGGTAGGGGTTCCACACACGCAGACTGCACATTATTAACCCATCTACTGATTTTATAGGTATCTCGGAGCCCACACTCATCGCTAACCTGGTTTGTGCACTGATGAGACAGATGGAGCATGTTCATTCCAAGTCATCGAACTCTGCAGGACTGTGGCTTGGAGAACCCACGAAGACACCCAGGCGAACAGAGTGGGGCCACTGTCACAGGAGCGCTTGGTTAATCTCCATTACGATCAATCATTAGACAAAAATCATTGCTCAACGATCGCCCCCAGCCAATGACAGACCATCTCCCTCATCAGAGAGCTGTTCGGATTTGTAGGCCCGAATTCCCCTCTGACTTCTCCCTGTTTCGTCCAGGATTAGGAATGAAAAAACATTCAAAGGTTAAACTAAACCCCAGAGAAGGTATGGGACACAAACTCGTAATCAAGCCACCCAAAGTCATGAGATTGATCCAAAGTTGGCCGTGACTGACCAGGTTGGAAAAGCGGCTCCTGAGTCTCACTGGGTAGAGCTACTCAGCCCTTGGATGAGTCACGAGCAGTAAATAACCACACGCCCTTTCCCTCCCGAGTCCCTCTTTCACAAAGACTGAACCGGGAAGGAATGTACCGACGATCTAAAGGAATCGAAAAACAGGACAGGTCAACTGATTTGCCCTCTGCCCGCTTTCGGCGCGGCGTGGGGCACGGGACCACGAGTGTAAGCGACTGCCAATTCTCTCGGATCACTGTGCAAGCCATCTCACCAGTGGCAGGGGTCCAGGTCCCCTGATTCTTAACCCTGCCCACACCCTACGGACTCCAGATCCTTAAGCGACATGGACAAGGTCACGAACTACACCTGGAACCGGTCGCCTACCAAAGCTCTCCTTCCACGTACAGCACTGAAGCAACTGCCTGGCGACCTTGGGCCCAGGTCCTGGGGTGTTTAGGACCCCGGCACAGCCATCACAACCACACTCCCTGAGTCCTCCGCCTGTCCCTGTTACACCGTGGCCTTTGTCCAGTTCATTCAAATAATAACACGTCCCCGTAAGAAACGCAAACTCACCCTTCAGGGGTCAGGAATGCACGGCGAGCGCCGGGGTCTCAGAAAGGCAGCCGGCAGCTCGCAGGCGCTGGGACTCTGCCGTCCCCCAGTCACAATACTCCTTCGCAAGCATTACGGGGGCACAGGACACATGTCCGTAGAGCTGTCAGAGACCAGTGAACCCGAAGCTTCTTTATAAAGCACAACACAACGCGCCTCGCAATAGAAAAAGTGTAGTTTGAAATCTTAAAAGCCCTTTATTTACTGCAATGCGGAACATTTTGTTTTCAGACATCGGTGGGTTTTGTTTTGCTGACATTTTCGCTTAATTCAGCTGAAGGCAAGTGAGGAGAATCACATGGCGACTGTCAGTAGCCCATCGGGATGGCAGAACAAGCTCGCAGACCGTTCTTCGTTTGGACTAATGTTAAACCGACTGTCAGTAAAGGCTTCCTGTCTAATAGTTACGATGTATTAACAGTCACCAAATAGCCCTGAACCGGGGGATCTTTTAGAAATAATTAAGGGCTTTCATTTGATAAATGGAACAGTCACAAAATGTAGGTGGCTCACATCAACTCATTGGATTCGCCTGCCCCAAACTGCTCTGCGATTCCGAGAAACGGATATTCTTTTTCACATGTTGTGCCACGGTTTCTCCAAATATCTGCTCATGCTCAAGAAAACCAACATGTCACTCAGACACCTCTTAATCTCAACGGGTGACATACAAGTGGACGCATCTGTCACACACAAGTATATAATTAGGAGACTCGAGGAATATACAGAGATGGTAAGAAACCTTTTGATTCTTTGGTTATGCTCTAGTAACAATGATATATTTCTTGGCAACCAGCCAATTGGTTTGGGAACTAATATCCGACCTTGACCCAATAAAGTCTAACGACCCACGCCTTGCTTTGCACGCACCGTTAGGGCCTGTCACCAATCGCCAGCCGTCTCTCTCGGGCACCCATTCCTTTCTTTGCGATCATGAAACACCCCTGGACAAATCCGCCCTTCTCTGGAGAAACACATGTCTCACTCAACTGCAACTCCCGACTCATAGCTAAAATTAACGCAGGCGGGCAATTTGGGTTTTTGAGAAAAACTTCCTCCTCAGTGACGTGTGTGATGTTGAAGCCCTCCAATGTGTCCGCGTTGCCTCATTAAATTAAAAACACCTGGTTTATTTATACAATGTATCCAATGGCTTACAGAGTAGGATTCTAGAAACAATACATGTCTCATAGCAAAAAATATACATATAATAATCCACCTGTAGTTTATATAAAGGATGCAATGTTTCCGAATATATCTATATATCTATATATGTACACATATATACTCTGGGTGTGTGCGTGGGGTCGGCACACAAATACTGCAGTCCTTCATTGGCTCTTCCCCTTCAGTGTCAAGGACACCAGGTTTCAAAGTCTTAAGCTGCTGAGCAGAGGTCACCGCTGAGGACAAAGGACTGGCTTGATGCACCCTCCCCGGTGAAGGACCAAGTTGGCCGGACAGTGGCACCCCGCGACGCACGGCTTATTGCACGGACCGATCTCATTCCAGTTGTCACAGGTCTTGACACATCCTGGACCGCAGGTGTCATACACAGCCCCGTGCTTACACTGGGTGGCTGGAAAACAGGAGACAAAGGTGAGACGTGGAGAAGTGGCCTCGTTCATCACCCGATGCCGTCCCGCAGGCCCGTGTCGCTCACTGCACAGCGCGGGTCCACCTGTGCATTTTAACGAAGAAATAACAAGCACCCAACATCCTGCAAACACCCAGGGAGTCACCTGCACCTAAGAAAACGACATTGGAGATCCACCTGCCAGGCCATGAACTTCAAAATGAAACAAAGTGAAGCTTTTTATTCCCAGGTAAGACAAACTATACATTAGTAAAGCTACAAGAAAACCTGTAAGGTTATTTAGTTACTGATAATAGTGTGAAAATGAACTCCAAGGAGTCCTTCAAGCAGCTGAGCCTGATGAATGGCAACATTTTGGGCAACCACACCAATATTCAAAAGTATACAATCACACCTACAGGAGGACAGCCACCCAGGATCTTGGAAATGTGCTGCACGTTTTAATCATATTTTAATTATGTGTTGAATTAATCAACTTGAGGCAAATTAGAGCAAATACATCCGGTAATGTGATTAATATCCAAAATTTATAAAAAACTCATACATCTCAACACCAAAAACCCCAAACACTCCAATTAAGAAATGGGCAGAGGAGCTGAATTGACACTTCTCCAAACAGACACTTTTCCGAATGATTCTCTCCACAAGCTCATCTTTTTCCAGGTCTTAATGCAAATGTGGCCTCCTTCCAGCGGCTCCCTGGGTCCCCCCAGGCCACCCTTCTCTCCTCTGCATTCCTCAGCACTTCTCACGTTATACTTTTTTGTTCATTTGTTTTAATCCCACAATTACGATGCAACTGTAGTTCTTAACCAGAGATGCTCAGGAGAGTCCCCTGAATATCTTTTAAAAAGGTATCTATTCCTAAGCCCGGTTCCTTCCAGATATTTGCTGTGAGTCTGCAGCAGGGCCCAGGTGGCTGCAGATCTGGAAAGTTCCTGGGGCCACTATGACAAGCATCCCTGGCTGAAGAGAGTGAACCTCAGAGACCTGGGCTCTTGGGGACGGAGCCCTCGCCTTCCGTGACCCACAGTTCTGGCACAGGGCCAACCACAGAGGAGCCACCGGTAAATGCCCGTGCCTGTTGGGTGATGATTTAATCCTAACGACGGTCAGTCCACCACCCACTTCGCACTGTGGATGACGCCTGGCTGGCCGTGGGTTCCTTTCCCACCCTGAAGCTCCCAGAATGTCTCGGCTCACTTTACTCTCCAGATACTTTGCTCTCCTTCGAACTTACTAAGATCCTTTAGCATGAAAACTTGGCGGACTTTCCTCTTTCCCACCAGTGTTCTCTCCTTTCATTATAGACACGGACTCTCCCTTGTCAGCTCCTCTCTCTGACCTCAATTCTCTTCTCCAGCTCTACCGCTCAGCTCACGAAGGCTCTCCTGTGACATCTTACCTGTGACTGCTGAACACTGATATTTCCCTCACAACCTGCAGGTAGAAAATAGAATGTAGAACATAAAGCACTGCAGGGAAAAAAGACCTTTTCTGCCATATAATTACCATCTTCATGTCAATTCAAATTAACTCAATAAGCAGCTACTAAGTATCTACTGTGTAGTATCTGAGTGTCTTCTTAGGCCAGGGAACCAAATGTCAGTCCTATCGTTGCTGACCCTCCAGCTACAGGAGGCAGGCTGACAGCCGGAGAGGCGAAGGTCACACGGCAACAGATCCTCAGCCAAACGCAGGATGCACCAACTGCGACAATGAGAGCAAGGGACAGGGGAAGAGAGAGACATCGACTCAGCGTTGAGGGGGGAGGGACCAAGGAAGAGCAGAGAGGGGATCCCACTTATTTTAAACCTTGAGAAGAGATGGTCAGAGAAAGGCAGGAAGGACGTTCCAGGCAGAGAGAGGCCGGGGTGTGGGCAACCACGAGGCCCAGTCAGGGGAGGGGGTCCTTGGCTTGGTGGAAGGGAGCTCGGTGGCCTTATCAGTAAACCGTGGGTAACAGAATGTTACCAAGTAGATTACAGTGTGGATTTAAACTGGTAAAATGTAATAAAAGTGCTAATGTAGCCCTTGGGGCAAGGAGGTGCTTAGAAAATGGTAACTGTTCATATCAGTGGTCGCGTTTGACTTTTATAGACCTTGCGTATTTATTGGATTCGGTGTTTCGCATGCTAACGGGGCTTCCATTGCTCCTTCCTCCCACAGCTCGGGGCGTGTGCCCTGGGGGCAGTCTCGGTACCGTCAAAGCCAGGCCACACCCGGGACGTCCCTCGTTCACGCGGAGCTTCGAGCCTGGCTGGCTTCTTATTTGGTTCAGCTTCCCGGCTTTCTACTCTGGAAAATCCCTCTTCTCTGGGAGCTAAAGACAAGGGAAGAATATTCCTACAGCCTTCAGAATCCCAGATGAACTGGGAACGACCCTCCCGAGGGATGCTGCGCGGCTCTGGAAACGTCTCACGGACCAGCTGTCGATCTGCGGAGGTTCATCGTGCGTGTGTGTGTGTGTGTGCGTGTGCGTGTGCGTGTGCAAAAGGCTCCCCTGCGACCGCATGTCGATGGAGTCGCGCTTCGCTCAGGTGGCTCCATAACCGCAGGCGGTGAATGAAAGCTTTCAGGGCCCACACGCCTTTTCCATTAGCGAGGTAATTTTAGCTTCTGAGATGCAGCCCCTGAAACCAGGGCGCTGCCTCGAAATCCGCCGTCTCCAGACGCAGCGCACTGCCCGGCGCTAAATACAGCTCGGGGCCAGGACGGGTTCACGGGTCCTGTACCTAGGTGACCCTGGCACAGACGCACCACCGCTGATCGAGTCAGCCCAGCTCTGCCCAGCCCGCTGTGCGCTGGGATGCGCGGCTGGGGCTGGGCTCCGCTCACTTCATTCATCTTCTGGTCGGTCCCAGGGAGGGAGCACTCGGAGTAGGAGGGGGGCGTTCAGTGGGATGTGCTGAAGGGACCCGGTCCCTCAAAAACGTGGCCCTTACTACGCTAACCCGCACCGATGCTTCAGGGGGGCGGTGAGCCACTGAGTCTCACCTTCGAGCCCTGCCACACCTGAGTGGGAGCGATTTTTATCAAATCAACACTCCGCCGAGAGGTGGGCAGCATGTAGGGGGGGCCCCTTGCTGCCGAGAGTGGACTTGGGTTTGCAGAGAGAGCAAATCCGAAAGGGAAGCCAGAGATCAAAGGGCTCTGGGGCTTTGCAAGGACGCAGACCAGTGACTGCGTCAAGGGGCGGCTCGAGGGAGCTTTAGTAACCTCCCAGCTCCCGGCCACCTCCTCCCCTAAAGCTACCCCAAACGCCTTCAATTAACCCAGTGGTTCAACTTTGGCTGCAGGTCAGAACCACCTGAGGGGTTTTAAAAGACACACAAGGCCAATTAAAGCAGGATGTCTGGGCACGGGGCCCAGATGTAGGTTTCTGGGGTTTTGTTGTTGTTGTTTTTTAAGCTCCCAAAGTGACTCCAAGGTCCAGCCAAACTGAGGCCCACTGGTCTAAGTGAACTGAAAACACAGCGTCCGGACGGTTCTCCTTGGCCCCCCTTCCAGCCAGACGATCACGCCCGCCCTCCACCAACAGCGACAGCGCAGAGTGGGCAACGCCGAGCTGCCTTCTCGCCTGACCGCCGAGCTCGGGCTGCGAGCACTGGTGCGACACCGCAGGCCCCGGTCTCTTCGCTCCAGGCAAATCTGGCCCTTTGCAGAAAAACATCTGCCAGCCCTCGAAGGAAGTCACAAACTATTCAGTCATCTCGTCTCCAGATCTAACAGCAGCAGCAGCTACTGTTGACGGAGCCTCTCCTAGGAGCTGAACGCGCTTCCAGACATGTCACATACTAGTCACTAATGCTTATGACCCTGCACAGTAGATATTATTGCAAAATTCCCAAACGTACCTAGACTGTCTTCTCCTCTCCCCACACATCGCCGCTGTGTCCATCCAAGCCACCAGCGATGGTTTTCACCACAACTACTGCAACAGCCTCCTGCCTGGTCACCTGCTTCCGGTCAGGCCCCACCCAATCGAATCCCTACACAGTAGCCTCTATACAGGGCGGCCTTAGAAAAGCTGGGAGAGATTTGCTTACAGCCCATCAGTGGCTTCCGCTCCTCTTAGAATAAAAGCTAGACTCCTGCTCTGGCCGGGGTGGCTCAGTCAGCTGGAGTGTTGTTCATGCACCGAAAGGTCGTGGGTTCGATTCCCGGTCAGGGCACGTGCCCAGGTTGTGGCTCGATCCCCAGTAATGGGAGTGCAAGAGGCGACCGGTTGATGTTTCACTCTCACATCAGTGTTACTCTCTCTCCTTTTCTCTCCCTAAAAATCAATTAAAAGAATCTTTAAAGAAAACAAAAACTAGACTCCGCCCCAAGCCTTGCAAAGCCCTGTGTGATCAGCGCCTGCTTCTGCCCTCTCCCCACAATCCGATGTCCCTCTTCCCTTGCCCACCTTCAGCCCACGCTGGCTCCCATCCCGTTGGAGAGCTTGCTCTTTCATTCCTTCCTATGGCCACCAAATATGTTTCTTCAGCTTAGAATGCCTCCCGACTCCCTTCAGCCCTTCAGAGCTTGGCCGAAATGTCACCTCCTCAGAGAAAAGTCTCCCCTCCTCGCCATCTCAGCACCACCCGCTCCCTCCCCACTTGTTTTCCGTTGCTTTGCTGTTTCTCTCCTTCATCGCACTGACCACACTGAGCAAGTATTTAGTGTCGAGTTACTCTTTTTGTCTGGTTCTCCTATTGGAAGGCCAGCACCTCAGTGACAGGGGTCATAGTCATCAAAGCCACCAAAGTACCCACGGACGTCTGGGACTCAGCCACTCTGTAAGGAAGCATGTGACATCTATGAAATGGACAACAGAGATGTCCATGTCCTAGACAACAAATAAGTTAATTAACTCGCCCGAGATCAAAGAGCTGAGATAACTATTATGGAAATCTATCTCAGGAGGAAAAGAACATTCTGCTAGGTTTTGTAGCACAGTCCCTCTCTCTCTTAAAAAAAAAAAAATCACACTTATCCTAAAGACCTTAAATGACTGTAACTGCCCTGAATCTCCTCTGCTGCACACACAGCCTGCGCCACAGCTGTGACTGCGCATCCACTGAGCTCATCCAGCTGTTCGTCTGAGGCTGGAGGATTGTGCAACAGTGGAAATCCTTAAACTGTTCAAATGTGCTCATCACAGAGCACGTCTCCCTATCCTGCCCCTGGTGGGAAGCCCTGTGTTTTATCAAGTTGCAACCCAGTTGGGCCAGTGCTGGGATTGCCCTTTGGCCAAGGAGGGATGTGACCATCCAAGCCCGCAGTCTCGTCCACGGCTGTCCTGGGCATCGTGGTGACCTTCCGATGGCTGGCCCGCTGGGAGCCTCTCACCTGCACAGTTCTGCTGGGGCTCCCAGTGGACGCGGATGCCCTCTCTCTGGCAGGCCCGCGTGTATGCCAGGAACGACTCGCAGTAGCAGTTTTTATGGACTGGACATTCACACATGTCTGTCACACAGGACCTGCGGGAACCAAGAGAAAGAATTAAACACTTAAGAATATCAAACACCCTAAACGTGACTGGCAGCAAGGGGTGAGTGGGTGGCCAGGGAGCCTTGACTGGCCATTAAAGGTTGCTTTTTCAGCTTGGAAACCTAAGCTCCAGGACAGGAGCCATGATCCACATGGAGCCATTTACATGGAAATTTGTTCATTACAGTTCAATAAAATTTAAAATTCAGCTCCCTAAGCTACACCAGCCACATTCTAAGTGGCCAATGGCCACGTGTGTGGAGTGGGCACCACACCGAACAGGGGCATCTGCAACGGGTCCACCGCTGCAAAAAGTCCTAATGGGTCTGGGTACGAAGAATGCGACCCCATAGGCTAGGAAACGATTCCTGTCTTCCCGAAAGGGATTCATAGGTGTGAGATTCAGAGCAAGCTTAGCCCTGCTTTCTCCCTGGGCACCTGCAGAGGAAGTTCAAGTTTCGTGGCATCAGAGTCAAGGTCCCTTGAGGTCTGGACTGCCCTCACTCTGCCCCACCCATTCTTTCCCCCAGGCGGAGGGCATGTCTTACCACCCCCCAGGCTTCCTTCCACCTGCTTTTCCTGCCTCAACCATGCTTCCTTGTCTTTTCCACTGGAGAAATCCAATGCCTGTCCTTAACACTCAGTGCCAGTTCCTCCGGGGAGCTCCCTGATGGGCCCAGAGAAAGTGAGCCCCTTCTCACTGGGTCCTGTGCCCCCACACCTTTACCCTGCACAGAGCTCTGGGCCCTCCTTCCCACCTTCCCTGTGTGGGGAGAACGGACTCGCTCACCCGGCCAAGCACAGCTCAGTAAGCATTCGGTGAGTCATCAGAAGAGGGAATGAGAGTGGCCCAGTGACCTTCGCTCAGCACGGCCACCGCCCTGGGGGTGCAGCCCCAGCATCCTCCAACCAAGCTGCACCCACCAGAACCTTCTACTGTCATTTCCCATCTGAACTCCTTGCACTACTCTCCTATATCCAAGGGGATATATATATTAATTTAATGAATGGTGGGGAAAAAAGGATTGGATGCAAGAATTCTGCTTTAAGGAGATATTTTCAGAAAAGCACATTCAATATGGTAGGAATAACCTATGGATCTTCCTGTTATTAAAAAGGCAAGTCTCCAATCTGCTCAAACCAAAACATCAAACATCTCTCGGCTTCCTAGCAACAGCAGACCGAGTGGTTTCCCTCTGCTTTTCCTGGCATGAGGGCCCCCCTGTCGGAGAGAGTCTCATGCCTTTGCTACCGAGACACAGTTTTTACCACTGGACTCTCCACACCAGTCCTGGGAGAAGAGAGGGCGAGCCAGGAGTGACGGCAGCCGCCCCGTCCGGGAGCCAGGGTCTGCTGTCACCAGCAAGAGCCTCTGGCTGGACTATGTCGGTCAACCTGGAGGTCAGCTTTCCAGGGAGCAACAACAGGATTGGGGCCGGAAGGTGACTAGAAAACACACAGGCCACAGGCTTTCCCTGCTGCGTGTATCTGCGAAGTTCATAGACACGATGAAGGCACCTTGGGCTTGCCAGCCCCTGGGCACCAACGGGGAGGGGGCAGGGGGAAGACATGAGGGGCAGAGACCTGCCTGGGTGGACACAGAGTGTCTAACTTCCAAGAGACTATTAAAAGATTCCCTTATACTTTACCCTTGAAACTGCCCTGACCTCCCTGAGTTGCGTGGAGGTAACTAACTGGAGGTAGTGAGAGTAGTAACAAGGCAGCTCCATCTCACGTTCCACCTAAGAAAATAATTTCATCCACAGCTCAGTGGCGGCTACCTCTGCCTTATCCTCAATACAGGGTCACCAAACATGGGGCTCTAGCATTAAAAACATCCAAAAGATTCAATAATGGGAACCGGGAGGCTGTTTTATTGAGTTGCTAATGAAGCGGGGCGGGTAACCCCACAGGGCCAGCCAGCGGGGAGTCCCGGCTGCTCACTCCAGAGCCTTCCTGGGCCAGCCAGCGGGGCACCTCTGGGCTTAAATATTGCTGAGGATATTCAACATCCAATGTCGGCTTAAATGTTGGTTCTGTGGCTGCCGGGGTTGCCAGGGCAGCACAGCGAGGCCAGGCTCATGTTGCTCGTCCTGTAGGTTAGACGCCCTTAGAGGCGGAACAAACAGGCAGCCAGAGAATAGCCCTTAAGCATTAAGCCCCCAGGACAATGAGGTGCTGATCAAATACCTCTAGGCCTCAGTTGTGTTCCAGCTCCAGGCCCAGAAAAGCAGCAAAACCAGACCCGTGATGCATGGCAGCCTTAGGACAGCTGCACTGACTGATGACCCCCTGCCCCGAAGGACACAGCTGCAAAGCTGAGGCATATTCTACTGGGAACCTGCCCCCAAGACCTCCAGATAAATACCCTTGAGGCAGAGCCCCACTGGGTCTTTCCCCTCCCCAATTCTTCCCTCCAGGTGTGTTACCTTTACCTCTCTCTCCCCTAAGCTCCAAGGGCCCTTCTCTTGCCTCTGTAACGTGTTTCCTGAGCCCATTTCTTCTACGGCTCACTTCTTCCACCTCTGTGACTTTCTAAATAAACTTTCTCTTATCGTTTGAGTCTTGGCTCTGAATTCTTTCTTAGCCAGAGCTCAAGGACCGAGGTTGCTGAGCCGAGGTCCGGTCTGACCCCACCCGTCTAACACCTGGTGCCGCTCTCCCGCCAGCGGAAGGATCTGTGGCATTTCGCTTAATTAGGAAATGAGGAAAAGAAAATTCCAGGCACAGAGCTTTCAAATCACCAGACCTTAGATTTGCTGGTCATGTGACCCATCCTCCAATATTAAAAAACAAAACAAAAAAGTCCCTGACAGAGTCACAGCCCATTCCTGACAACCTCCTTTCCCTTGCAGCGCAGTGAGAAAGGCCTGCTGTTAAGACATTTCTCTCTTTTCTGGATCGAAATCCTCATCATCTCCGACCTCAGCTCTTAGGTATGACACCTGCAGTCACACAGGTCTATGCATATGTTGTGCCTGGTGACTCTTCAGTTACCTTCCCGAGCTCCCCACTCAGCTTGTGTGTTTTCGTCTGCCTGCCTTGGGGGTCCGTCCCTTTGTAACGGCTGCTCCAACCTCGACAAGAATAAAAACCCAACTACCGAAGTGACAGGGAAAACCCCACTGGAGCGTTTTCATAATTATTCACGACGAACCCCTTGTTTGCCTCCTGCACTGCTCCTCCTGTGTGGACACTGCCTACCTATACATAGTTCCAATTTAAAGCCTAGGGACTCTAGCTTGGACGGTATTCTCAGTGGTTAGAGCATCAGCCTGCACACTGAAGGGCTGTGGGTTCGATTCCAGGTCATGGGCATGTACCTGGGTTGCAGGCTCGACCCCGGCCCTGGTCTGGGCACGTGCAGGAGGCAGCCAACTGCTGTGTCTCTCACATCGATGTTTCTCTCCTCTCTCTCTGCCTCCCTCCCTTCTACTCTCTAAAAAAAATCAATGGGAAAAACATCCTTGGGCGAGGGTTAACAATAACAACAGCAAAAAATACCCAAAGCCCCTCAAAACCTAGAGAGGCTACGCTTTTACCTGATTTAGACACTCTCTAGGTACTGAAGGATATCGATCGCTTTCATCCTTACAACGTTCCCCAGGGGGCAATGCCGTTGCCTGCACAGGGAAAGCCAGCGTGGCATCCAAGTTCCAGGGACGGGCATTGGCCTCAGACACCCTCCTGAAGCTAGGGACTGGTTTTGTGGAGTAACAGAGGCATCTGAGGACACAGAGGCCACCTTTAAAGAGCAGCAATGCTGATGGCTTCCCACAGGCGCCAGTTTTCAACCCCTCGAACTTGCTGTGAGCGGAGTCCTGCTTCAAGCAGAGGCCCACCAACCACTGTGCGTTTTCCGAGCGTAGTCTTTTCGCCCCTGATAAGGCCACTTACCAGACCGTATGTGGTCACTATGACCTCCGTGCCTGCACTTGCCTTGTGCCTCAGGGCTGGGGGACCTGTGCACCATTCTATTTGCACAGTGCTCAGGGGCCCAAGCCAGAGACTGCAAGCACCAGCAGCTGGAAATACTGCTCTCGGGCAAGGTTAGCTCTTTGCTCGAGCAGGGAGCCCTGGCTCCACGGGGCGGGTGGGACGGGGTGGCCGCGATTAACAGGCATTTGCTGAGATGTCCCTCTTCCAGGGATAACTCATTTTTCAGTTTGTGCGAAGATGTCGCAGGAGCGGCCAGGGAGACGGAAGGCTGGTCACCACCCCCCTCTAGTGGCCGAGAGGGAGAGCGTCAAGCACCCCCATGCTGGTCCCGCATTCGCTCCTTTCCCTTCCGTCTCTGGGGGGAACACAGAAACGGCTGCGTGTCAGGAGACCAGTCGCTTTCCTCTTAGGCGCTCATTCATCGCTGTCGCGCCCACGGTGGGGCAGCTGGGAGGCTGGTCGGTGCACCAAGTCCCTGCCTGACCCTAAGAGCTGCCCAGGTGCGCCCCGAGGGGAGCCTACCTGAGGAACACCTGCAGAGGGCAGGCCGGTGCAGCATCACTGGGGAAAAGCCGAAGCTTTTCCACTTTCCATGAAATCTCGTTTCACCCACGCGTTGCATCTGTTACCCGTGCACCGCACCCGATACCCGTGCACTGCACCCATTGCTTGTGCACCGCGCCCGACACCCGTGCACCGCGCCCGACACCCGTGCACCGCGCCCGACACCGTGCACTGCATCCATTGCTTGTGCACTGCACCCGACACCTGTGCACTGCACCCGATACCTGTGCACCGCACCCATTGCTTGTGCACCGCACCCGATACCCGCGCACTGCACCCGATACCCGTGCACTGCACCCATTGCTTGTGCACCGCGCCCGACACCCGTGCACCGCGCCCGATACCCGTGCACTGCATCCATTGCTTGTGCACTGCATCCGACACCCGTGCACTGCGCCCGATGCCTGTGCACTGCACCCGACACCCGTGCACTGCGCCCGATGCCTGTGCACTGCACCCGACACCCGTGCACTGCGCCCGATGCCTG